ACGCGAGCCTAACTTCTAAGCGCAGCGCTCTGCTCATCGGCGCTCGCGCGCGCTTGATTGACAGGCACGGTCACGTGTGCGCGGTTCGATTAAGGCCGAGTCGTCCTGCCGGGGGCGCTGGAAGGCGGCGATTCCCGACACCGCTCCTGCTTGCCTTTTTCCTTCTACCGCGTACCCGCGGCGCACAGCTCGCGCGCCACTGCAAACCGCCTCCACCATCCAAGCGAATTTGCGTGTGCTGCGCACACTCGGCGCCCGCTCTCAGTCTCATCAACCCACTGAGCAGAAGTGTTATCTGCTTACTCCTCTCACAGCGCCGTATATGCACGGCGCCAATCTCGCTTGTCTCGCCTTGAGCGCCGTGACCTGCCGTCTGCATGTAAGTACCCTCGGAAGTGCCATCCCTAGTCGCTTCGTGCCGCGCCAGTCGTCCACCCGGGCCGCGTAGCCGCCCCACAGCAATGAGCGCCGGTGGCAATGCACACTCCCACCCATCATATCGCTGCGAACGCCGCAGCCGCATGTTGGAGCACACCTTCTGTGCCCATTCCGCCCTCCTGCGCTACTAAACAAAATCTACACAGCCGCCATTGCTCCGGAACAGTGGGCTTCCCACGCTCTTTCTCTATTCTCGGAAACAGGAATATGGCCGATCAAGTACCGAAGGGTATACCTCGCCCTGAAATATCTGTGTTACCTCCTTAAGCTGGAGTCCGAGCGACCGGCTTCGAACGCGCTGTGTGAATCACTGAGTCTGGCCCGAGAACAGCACATCTCCTGGATCAATGATCTGCGCATTGTGTTGTCCCGCCTGCATGTCCCTGTGGCGCTTGACATTTCCCTGGGATTCGATGTTCATCAGGTGGAAGACGCTATGAAGTGCGTGGAAAAGTCCATGGAGGCATGGATTGATACCGAAATCGAGTCATCATCCAAGGTCCGGGAGATGTTGTCCGGGCGCATGGAAATGGATTCCGAATCTGGGAAATTGATAAAAAAAACTCTTGCATTCCGGCACTACCTAAGGCTCACCTCTCCCGAGCACCGCCGAGCGCTCACCCAATTAGTTCTCTCAAGCCATAGTCTTGCTATCGAGCGGAGGCGCTGGAAAGAGCGTGGGAAGCCCACTGTTCCGGAGCAATGGCGGCTGTGTAGATTTTGTTATGCATACATAGAGGACCCCGCACATGCGATGTTTGTCTGCCAGAACCCCGATCTCGTCGCCCTTCGATCAGTCTTTGTTGCTGGCATCGAGAAGCTGGTCCCTGGAATCTCTGACGAGTTCTCGGATGCATTGCAGATGTTCAAAGGTCTTCTATCCCGGAGAGAGCTTACCCCGCTACTGGGCAAGCTGGCCTTTGATGTCCTCCAAGTTTTTGACGCCAGCCCGATGCTCCTGGTACGCGAACCTGTCAACCGAGTCGATCATTGATGCCCGGATGGCGGTGCTGTGCGCTTTCTCGGATCAGACCTGAATGGGACGAAAAAGAAATGAAATGGAAAAAAAAAAAAAACCTCCTCTGCTTGCCCATCATGTCCGGCTCTCTCACTGCACCTGCCGTCCTCTCCGCTGGAACTCCATTCACCGATCTCCTTCGCGCTCGGGCCCCAGCCACTGCAGGGGAAGGGGAGCATGACAGTGCTGCCCCTGAGAAAAATGGGCCTGCAGCTGGGCTGCAGCCTGCACATGAACAAAATGGCCTGTCAAAGGCCGACGCTGAAGGACTGAAGCGTGTGGAGCCCATGCTCTCAGCTAATGCCGGAGGCATCCGCTCGGGGGAAAAAAATCCCGGGCCACTGGACCCCCCGGCCCGCCTCGAAGCTCCGGCAGCGACAGGTCCTCCGCTCGGTCCCCCCTCCTTAAAACGCGCCATCACGCGCGCCCTTACGATGCCCGAGGGTTTGAGTACCGGCACTCCTAATCCCGTGACCGTGCCTGCGTCTGTCCTGACTCTGAGCGTGGCAACACAAGATCATGATCAGGATACCCGATCCGCCACCGCCGATGATACACATCCAGGGTCCCCTACACCCACAATCTCCACTGCCAACCACTATGCTTTCGCCGTTTACTCTGCTTCGGAACCAGGGAAGACCGAGACCGCCACAGCCATGGCTAAGCGGACCACCAAAAATCTCAGTGTCCTCGCAGACGCTACTCGCATCACGGAGTCTACGGTCGAGAAACTCGAGTTAGCGCTCTCGCAGCTCACTGTTGAGACCCGCCTTCGACCGGATGCCTCTCGCACCAAAAATCTAGGCAACCGCTCCCCGAGTCCCCCGCCCTTGAATCACGAGCACGGGGACGACATCGAGGAGCTATTTGATCGCGTCCGGGACCTCGAGGGCCAGGTCGCAACAGCTCATGTCTTTGGGAATGCTGTTGGTGCGCGTGTTTCAAGCCTCGAGCGCCGGGATCCTGCGGCCGCACCGGGTGCACTCACTGTAGCCGAGCTCACCGACTTGGTTGGCCGGCGCTTCGGCGAGATTACGAGCGATCGCGACGTGCTCGACAGCGCTATCAAGTTCAATGGTGACAGGCATGCCGAGGATTTGCGCGACCTTAGGCTCGAGAACAAGGATCTGCGCGCTACGCTGGCCGCAATGCAGGTTACCATCACCCGGCTTCAGACCACCGTGGAGCTGGCGTCGCCGGCGCCACTTCGCGTGCGCGCTCCCTCACCCCGCCGGAGCATTGCTCCCTCCTCCTCCCATGCTCGGACATCTCGCTCGCGCTCCCCGGGAAGATTGATTCCCGCCAAGCGCCCGCGCGTCGAGGAGCGCAAGCACCAGGATCGTACGCGCGAAGGTTTCGTGATCATGGGGCCATTGTCCGACTCGCCATTGATACCCTTGCAGCTCTTCGAGTCCCTCATCGCTACGAATCTCCCTGCATTTGCCCTGACAAAGCCGTATGACGCCGTTGTCGACCCGTTCCATCCCTACCACATCCGCGTGACCCTGGACTCCCTCAAGACTGCGCGCGATCTGGTGGGTGCCTGGTCCGTGGGTAATCGTTCAGTGGGGATGCGCGAGTTTAACCCCCAAGATGCGGACCTGCGGACGGGATTCCACGACTCGCATTCACGTGCACCCTTCCAAGAATCAGTGTCGCAATCGGGGTATCATCGGCGTGGACGTGATTCCAACAACCGAGGAGCGCGTGGAGGCTTCGGGCCCCAGTAGATGCCTCAGATCCGTGGCGAATAGTTCATTTATCTCAATGTGATACCTGTGAACGCTTCATACCGTGTGATTCGTGCTGCTTTCTTGTTGCGCCCCTGATGTTCGGTTTGCGACATAGCTCCCCGCCTCACTCGCATATTTTCTGGTGGTTGTTTCGTGCATGCATTCTGCAAAGGGACAGCCATGCGACAGCCTCCTGCTGACTGGTGGACTCCAGGGAATTTCCTGGGAGGAGAGAACTCCTCCCGTACTCCAGTCCCTATTTTACTGGAGGTTAGGATCCCACGAGGTTACAACTGGAGATCCTGCCATACAAGCGGCCAGCCAGTCTGCAGTGGGTTTAGTATGCCCGACCCCCTGGAATGGTGTGTGCTCCGTTGGCATCTTGGAGTTTATGTAAGGATAACCACCCCTACATTACTTCATGTTTGTCTTCGGTAGACTCGTTGTTCAGACATTTGGACCACACGAGTATAATATAACCCCCCCCCCCCCCCCCCCCCCGTTTGCAGCAAGCGCAAGGACAGCCGCGTATTCGCGGCGTGTTGTGCATGTGCTGCTTGTGGTGGCAGTTCATGACCGACTCGGCGTGTGGAGACCTGCATTCCCACCCTCCTGCCCGCCCCCGTACTTAGTCCAAGTACTGTCCAACCACACTCCCACCCCCCGACGAGACGGCGAGCGCGCATGCGCGCTTCCCTGAATCGTACGACGGAAGCATCACCCCGCCGCGTGTTCGCACATCCTACCTTCAGGGCCCGAACGCGCCAGGTTGAGACGGCGCGTCAGTGTTGGTACGTGACAACTGGAGTCACGGAATAAACAATGGGCCGAGTTTTCGGGGTCTCGAACTCGCCAATCAAACGGCAGAGGCAGCCGGACGTCGCTAAAAAGCGTGGTGCTCCGGCTTTCCATAAGTTAGCCTCAGTTAGAGCCTCGTGCGTACTGTCACATCGGAGACGCCGTTCGGGCCACTGGTACGGGCAGGCGCTCCGTGAGGCTCGAGTCCCTGGCTGTCCCGGGAAGAGCAGCCGACCGCGGTGTCCTGTCCAAACGTTTGACTGGCAGTGCTCAACCTCAAATTAACGACGACTGTGCCATACCTCCAGGCAATCTTCCGATCAGTTCGAAGAAGATCTACAGGCCTAGGCTGCCAGTGCTATTGATAATCGAGAAATCAAAATGCGGTATTGATCAATATTGATGTCGAGACTCGGCCCTCGGGTTGGACGGGAGCTTTGGATGTACTACCTTGGCACTGGGCAGGCGGAAATCCGAATGTATTCGAGGCAGAGGCGCACGATTCCCAGTCTGTGCTGGTTTTTATTTTTCGTGTCAGACCTGGGTTTGATCCCCGCTCAGTCGTTGACGGGCCAGATCCGTGCGGGGACTAAATAGCGTGTGGGTGTGTCGCGCGCTGTCGTAGCCATGATCATCAGTACAGCAATGTACATGGCAGGTCCTGTTCTACTTACTTTCTTATGGAAGTTCAGTCCGAAATAGGTTTTGACAATCTATCTGACCGTGCGAGCGATTGCGACCTGTGAATCTGTCGAATTGATCAACGAGATACAGCTGTATCTTGACTATTCCAGGATTTGAACTCGCCCACTTTGAACTCGCCCACCTTGCGACTGGTTTTTAAAACAAAGCGCATACGATTAATGATTGTTCGATATTGTGTCTGCCCAGAAAGTCAGAGTACCAAAATCTAAGGGAATTTTGATACGATAGTACAGGTTGAGAAGGATAACAGGAAGGTCTTGTGCTGTAATTCGGCGGCGAATGAAGGAAGACGCTCAGCGCGACAAAAATACACTGAAAGGGAGTCGAACCCCTGCCGCTTGCTACCCAGATGACAGATGGAAGGCAAGCATGATACCGTTTCACCACCAGTGTGATAGGAAGGACTAGAATAACTGCAATCAGGGCTATCTGGCTACGTGCCCACTCCAATGCGCGCCCAGATATCCTCTTGATCGGCTTTGAGTAAGACTCACTCCGAGTCTAAAGGGTCAGAAATATATAGTGTCCACAGCAGAATCCATTTCTTTATAAAATCCAAGACGCAGCTTGCGCTCCCTACGCACACCGGGAATCTATGCTCCACGAAATAACTCTGAAATTAGACTTCCCAGCAGAAGGCTTTAGCTTTCCCAGGAGAAATCCAAAAGAGCTTGGATTTGGATGTTGAAATTTGCACAGCCAGCCGGGAAGTCAGGAGGCACTTTGCAGATCCGCTTCGCATGGCAAGCATGGCAGCCAAGGCACACACTCAGAGGCTCTCAGAGGTCCCGGGCATCGACGCGGGGAGTGCACGCGGGGCGCATGCAGCATCTGTCAAACCCGCAGAGTTCCGCCGGCACGACCCGGAAGGGTGCCTGAATGGACAAGCTGGCCGGCCCGCTTCGTGATATAAAACGAGACGAGACACTGCTGCGCTCTGAGTGATTTCCAGATAGAACGTAACTCACAGCTTGTTTCCTCGCTCGATCGAAGATTGTAGTGTTAATCCCGCCTGCTGGGATCTGCCGAGATACACTTATGATGTCTGCCGGATGTTGCCGCGCTTATGCCGAGATCAAAACAGTGTCAGCAAACGCTACAAACACATGCAAAAACTTTAGCCTAAAGTCAAAATAATACTGTGACTCTGAGTAACTTCAAGGTGGCCTCGGGCTGCTGCAAGTCAAAACGGGGCACCGTCAGGTGTCCCGTGCACGCCTCCGCGCACGGCGGCGGCGGGCACGAAACCATAACGGATCAGCGGATCAGCGGAGCTTCAAATACAACTTGCTTCCTGCCACCATCCCGCAACGTCCTCTCACGCCTGCCCCCGCCAGTCTTCAACATCCCCGCGGCTCTCATCGACTCTGCTATCTTTCGTTCGTCGGTTTGTTTTTCTGTATCGGTGCGCCCTGCTTGCCTCGTACTGTCTCTTCGAACTAACTCGGCGCACAGACCAAGCACGGTTTGATCTGCATCCAATTTGCATCCGATACCATTTTCTTCGGCTACGTCGATTTGTGTATGTGTTTCTTGCGCTCGTTCTCCCCACTGATAACGACCGCCGTCGTCACTCGCCCCGCCACTCACTACAGTACGGACTCTCGCAGAGTCTACACATGAACACCAATGAACATCCCCATTGGCGTTCGGGACCATTTCTCGCTCGCTTCCGCCGCGCCTCCGTACAGTGCCGGTTTTGCGGAGCATCTCTGAGCAGATGGCGCTCTGAATGGGACTTGAGACTAGTTGACCCAAGGTTCAGTTTGAGATGTATCAGAGTTTGATGTCGGTTCACGGTCAGCAGACCGCGCCATGCGCCTCGTGACCCAGCCGCCCATGATTCAGATATAAGACCGCGCTCGCCAGCACCCCCGCCGACGCCGTTCCTCCACCGCGGCCCACACTCCATCATGAAGTTCGCATCCACCGCCGCCGCCGCGGCTCTCGCGCTCGCCGGGAGCGCGCACGCCCAGTGCCCCGACTACACGACCTACGCGCAGGTGCGCTGGCGCGGGCGGGATGCCTTATATTCGGGATGCTGACGCACACGCAGAAACCGCAGGGGAACCCTTCAAGCGGGCCGCTGGCCCTCCCGTACATGCGCCCCAGCCCAGGTGCGCGTTCTGCTTACGGCACGCCAGGTCACTGACAGCGAAGCGCAGAGTGCCGTACATTCAACAGTACGTCTGTGGAGGTGCGGCTTTCCGGCTTTGGTACGAGCGGTCGAGCTCATTTCCCCGATAGAAAGTCATCCTGGACATGAAGGCGCGGCTCAAGGACCCCGATCTCGCGCGGCTCTTTGAAAATACCTTTCCCAACACGCTCGGTGCGCATCTTCGCGCCGTTTTGCGTATCGCCGCTGACGTCCCACTTCATAGACACGACTGTGAAGTACTTCAATGCCGTTCGTCCGCGTTTTTGCTCCGCTCCGCTCCACCAACTCATTGCCCGCGCCGCAGACGCAAAACCTCGCGTTCATCATCACCGGAGTGCGTTTCATCCTGATTCCTTGCACAATCACTACTGATATTCCCCGCAGGACATCACGTTCGTCCCCCGACACAACCCTAAACCTCTCCCGAAACTCACCGGCCATCCAGCGCACAATGGCTTCGCGACACCGCGAACCAGTTTGCGCACTATACCGCGCTGCTCCCGAACGACAAGCCGCTCGCGGAGCTCGTCAAGGCCGTAATCAACAACGAGGCGCGCTACGTCGCCGAGTTCCCGTACTGCGGCGCCTTCCAACCGCCGCCCGAGTCCGGGCTCGCGCCGACGCACAACGACTGGGCGGACGGCGTCACCGTCAACCCGCCCGTGAACAACCAGACCGTGTTCGAGTGCAAGGTGCGCACGCCGCTCTAGTCCTGGCGCATAGCTGACATGGCGGCAGTACGAGATCGACTCGCTGTGCGGCTTCCTCAAGCTCTCGAGATCGTACTACGGCGCGACGAAGGACGCGTCATTCATGAACGACAACTGTGTGTCGCGCCCCTCTTCGTGCTCTGTCCCTTTTCAACGCGCAGCGCGACAGGGTACGCGGCGGTCGGACAGATCTTCCGCGTGATCAACGAGCAGTCGCAGGGCTCGTTCGACGCCAATTTCAACTGGGTCTCATATTACAACTGGACGGGTGGCAATGGCGCGCTCAGCCCGGCCGTGCCCAACCGCGGGAACGGCGAGCCAAAAGGGTACACCGGTACGCCCCCCTTTTGCCCTCACTCTCAAAATTGCGGGATGTGCTCACGTGGGTCGATATCAAGGCATGGTGGGCACGCACCACCGCCCGAGTGACGACCTGTCGACGTTCGCGTTCCTCACGCCCGCGAACGCGATGCTCTCCGTCGAGCTTGGGCATCTCAAGGACGTCCTCAAGGCCTCCGGCCAATCCAAGACCGGGCAGGGGAAGAAATTCGCGAAGGACGCGGGGACGTGGAGCGCGCGCGTGCGCGCCGCGGTGTGGAAGGAGACCCTTGTCAACAACGTGTTCGCGTACGAGACGAACGGGCTCGGCGCGCGGTACGTGATGGACGACGCGAATGTGCCGGTGCGTCCCGCCGTGTCGGGTGGTTGTTGGAGGGCTGACAAGATGTAGTCCCTGCTGTCGCTCCCGTACCTCGGCTTCCTCGACAAGCACAATCCCGCGTACGTCGCGACGCGCAAGGTCCTGCTCTCGCGCGCAAACCCCTACTTCGCCGCGGGCGCAAACTTCAGTGGCGCCGGGTGCGTCTCTTTCCTCCTCCAATGTCTTTCCTTTCCTCCGCGACCTGAAATTCACGTTTTCCTCTATGCACAGTGGCCCGCATGTCGACGCGTGGCACCCTTGGCCCATGTCGCAGATCTCCGCGATCTTCGGCTCGGACAACGACGCGGACATCCTGCGCGCCTTGTACCTTGTCGCGAATGTGCGTCTTCCCCCGCAGGATATGTTGAGCGCGCACTGATTGGGGTGTATGAATGTAGAACACGGCGGGCCTGGGGCTGATCCACGAGTCCCAGTCAATCTACTCGTCGACGGGCTACACGCGCCCGTGGTTCGCCTGGGTGCGTCTCTGTATCTGTCCAACAAACGGGCGAAGCTGACGTGCATGTGCATCGGCAGGCAAACAGCTACTTCGCGGAGATGCTGCTCGACCTCGCGAAGCGCAAGCCCAAGCTCATCTTCAAGACTAACAAGCCATATGTGCCCGGGCAGTGACTCGCGTGCTTGGAGGAGGAGACGGACATGAAGACGGACAGGAAAATGAACCCGCAAATGAAAATGGATACGAAAATTACTGCGGACGGAGAAAAAGAGAGGGCGCAGATTGGATTTCCGCTGAGCTTTACGGTGGATCAACAATGGTGTATGAAATGAGATTTGCCTGTTTGCTGCGGAGTCTCGAGTCCATAAAATAAGCACCCAGGGTCAGAGCTGTCCTCGAGTATCTCATATCTATCCTTCTTATCTTGCCGTGTTGCAAGTCTGGCCAACTGACAAACTGGCTAGAAAATCAAACACAACCTGGTATACGAAGCTCTCCGCTCGAGGGGTTTCTGTAGGCCGAGTATGGCACATATACTGTGCAAAAAATAACTGGTTACAACCTATGCTTTAATACAGGGTTTCCGACTACATCTACATCTTCTTTGCATATGGCTTACATCTCAAACATTCAGGTTACAACTGACCATCCCCTGGAGGTACAACTAACCAGCAAGGGATTACAGCTCTCAAGCTTACTTCTGTGGGACTTTGAGTTGAGAGTATCTCGAAGGTTTTGATTGATTGATCGAAACAATGATCTTGCCATCGTGCCGAGATCCATAAACGGTACTGCCCTGAATTATTATGCACAGAACACTACTGCCCTCCAAAACGTTCCTAATCTAGCTCATAAAGGTCCATGATATTCATTGCTTCAATCTTTGTGAAGATCAGGATAGTGAGTCACACCTCCGAGACTTGTTGAAATGGACAACGACGAATACACCAATCTCATTGGCTTCTTATCAGTATTCACCGATGAGCTCTCCACATTGTCCGGAAAGTGAATTTGGCTTCAATAGATATCATCCGAAGCGGCCGATGCACCCATGGAGCGGTAGAACACGGGTTTGGGTGGGGCGCCGAAATAGGCCGATAGCCGAGCCTAAGCGGAACTGATCCAAATCAATTCCCAAATAATTGTAATGCTAGCGGCGGACAGGTGTAATCCACCTGGGAGATGTCAGCCAGCAAGTAAAGATGTGATCCAAACTTCAGATTGAAGTTGTAAGTTGTCAGAAAAAACCCTGTAAAATGACGTTGATTTTTGCACAGTATATCGCCCATAGCCGAGATAAGCTGCGAATAATTGACTGGGAAGCTATATGTAGGCCTATAGGGTTTGATATGGGGTTATTATCCT